TTCAGTGGAATAAATCGATTTCATACTGCGAAGTGACAAAGGCGACGGCCGACGGAGTAGACTAAAAATTGTATATTCCAGTGTACACGAGACCTGATGGTTTCTGCCGTTTCTGGATCTTATCCGATCGGTTAAATATCCACTTGTTGATTGTTTTTCCTCTCGTGGTACATGGCTCAAACGACAACCGCGGTGTGGGAAAACGTCCGAAACTTTCGTCCCTTACTAGGATGTTTACTTCCCATCCGTACTAGTCTCCACTCTGGCAGTAGTGTATTTAGGTCGGGGGCTCAGGGTGCCAATCGCCCTGTGCGCTACATCCTGATTCTCATGGGTGCTCAAGGTTCAAAGTACCTTGTGACATTACTAATGATGGAGTTTTGTTGTTTTTACTATAATACGTTAATCGTTTTAAAATTAAACGTATAAAGCGAGTGTAATAGTAACATTTTAAAGGGGCCTATGTTGTATAAACGAATTTTTGAAAATACACGTTTAGGGCTGTTTTTGACAAAAAAATTGACAAATTATTGGAGGGGTAGTGTTATTGTTGAAGACAATCCAGCACATACCACCTTAGGAATTATGTCAATGTTATTAAATGTAATGGACAGAGACGCTACTTCATTGTGTGCCTGGGGCGCTTCCATATTCATAAATGCGTCACTGTCTATGGGCCAAACAACACTCAGGATAATAGATAGTAATAACTAATAATATTATAGTATTATAAGCGTACTACTCCATATTATACCTTATAGAAACAACACTGAATTATATTATGTTATAACGTGTTCGTCTGGCTCCTTTGTTCGTCGATATATTATTATTCGTGTTTGTTTTTTATTTTTACTTTCTTATTCCAGCATGTTGTTGCATTTACTATTTGCAATAGGTACCGGCTCCTGCCTTACCATAATATATACAGTGCGATTATATTATTAATTAACAGTCGTTATCTCGAAAATTATTAAAGTTTTTGGAAATATATATTTTTTAAATACTTAGTAATAGCATTTATTAAATATAATAATCAATGGTAATAGTTAGTATGATTAAGTTAGTCTTTACAAAACAATATTTTTGAAAAAAAAGATATTTACTAGGTACTTTGTGTTACAGTTGTACACAATAATATACACACATTATAAATTCTGAGCCTGGCAATGCATATTATATTGATTTTACAATAGTAGATAAAATGCATTGTTTATCAAATTCAAAGGAGGTTTCTGGTAGAAAGTTTGGTCTAAAGTAGAAACTTTCCAGTAATGATACAATCAGGGCGTAAGAATATGAGCATAATTAATATTATTACTTAAATAATTGTATAAATAAAGATATAACTAATTAAATCCCTATAAATTCAATTTTTATGTATTTAAATTCTCAGAAAAATGTTCTGCTTAGGATTATGATATTCAAAATGTATGTTATTTAAAAAAGTAAAAACTTAAATAACGATATTGATAGAAAATAGTGAAAAAAAATTATAATTTAATAGATCTCATTTTATTATAATAATTAATTGTATAATATAGGTTTTTTTTCAAATCTCATCAAAAAATATTTTCAAAAACGTTAAAACTATTTGAAATAAAGAGTGTTCTACTTAAAAAAAATACCTAGGTATAATATTGTATTTATTATTATAATACTGTAACTGTAATATTTATTCATTGACAGTATTATAGCGTTCGACAGTAGTTGATAATATTGATTGTTATCGTGAGGTGCTTCGTGAAGACGACCTTCATTTTCTAAATTCTCGTCACAGTTACATTTTTTCCACGTCTGTAATGGTTATGGAAAAAATTGCGCTCGTTATATTTTATAATTATTGTAGGTATCAGTAGGTATCAGTAGGTTCTGGCCCAGAACGGGTCACCGTGAAATCGTGTATTAGATTTCGGACGGCGATATTTTATAATATTGTACCAACAATGACACGAATTACATAATAATATTATAATATAGTGAGTCAGTGAGATGAGCTCTTCAAATGATATTTTTTTTCTTCTGAAAATTCGTTGACGGACAAGTGTGCACTTGTACATATTATTATATTTATTTATATTACGACAACAATTAAAATGTACATAATAAGTTAGATAACCCACTTTTAGGTGCAAGTATCTTGAATCAGCTGTGCAATCACAGTGAACATTTGTTAACAATTATATACATTTTTAACACGTTTCAATGTCTTTTGGTTTCAGAAATTTTTTTTTCATCCTTATTCGTTGAAAAATGTTCACCTTGATGGTGTATAAATGAACACAATCTAAATCATTCTCGCATTTTGACAATTTTTCGTTATTTCAATTAAGAATGAAATTATTAATAATTGTGACCGCAATTTGTTTCGAACAGTTTTTATTTTAAAATTCAGGGACGGTGAATTTTTTTTACATAACATAATAATTATAACTAAGTTTACAAATTTTGACCTCACATTGAAATTTATATTTATTATAAAAATCTTGAAAAATAATTAAAATATCATTAGGTATGTTTACCTATATGTATATAATCAAAAATTGTGCGTGTTAAATATTTGTAGGTACGTTACCAATGCATTCTAATAATTGATTATAACATCATCGTGATCCCCAGTATTTTATTTGAGTTAGGTGCATATGATATCATACATGTTGAAGTAATTACATCGTCAGTCTTAGGCAAATTATAACCTATTATTATATTATTATACCATTATAGTTGGATGTTTTTAGTCGTTCAATGAGGGAGACGATAGAGTGTAACTATATTTGTCATTTTATATAACATCGTCCAGTCCAGTTTAATGAACACCATTTTTGTTATGCGGTGTTATGATGATACGAATTAACTTGCATTGTTATCTAGATAGGTTATTATTGTACAAGTCTATTAAATCCTTAACAAATAAGACGGAACGCGGTCGTCGATTAGAATTAGAGAAATTCTGGCGGATGATAAAACCACCTGTTATAAACGACGTATTATGTAAACTATTATAATATTTCAAATGATAGTCTTTAGAAATCTGTATTTGCTGAGATAACCCTTCAAACGATTTCGATTATTTCAGTACACCGTTCACAAACACCAGAACAAAACCATACTCTATTCATTACTACATTGGCTCAAAACGTTAGAAAACCATAGTGTAAATAAAAGGATAGGAGTAAAACTTTTTGGCATTATGACATCATACGTTCGACTAGAGTGATAACAATATTTGTAGTTGCAGCGATCCCGATGGCAAAGTGAAGTCATTTAATTTACCTATAAATTCCATTACTAAATTTTGGAAGTTTTGTATTTTTGCAAAATATTCTCTAAATTATGAGAATAATTATAACTATAAAGCAGAGATTTTTGTCTCAACACCGGAAACAGATTCAAATATTATACTTAAGGGGGTTCGAGGCGGTGATTTAATAAGGGGTCGTGTATAGGCAATTCGATGTATTATAGTCGTTTCGCAGTGTGTTTGTGTGTGAAGTAAATGATCATTAGTGTGCGTAGATACGTTCGGAATCAGTGGTTCGCACCCGCATGCACATGTCACATAATAAAATATTTGTTCCAACGAGAAACTAATTTCAATCAATTGAGACCTAAAAGCCTGACAAAAATACGATAACTTAGAATGATCGGATTTCAGTTCTGTAAACATATCTGAATTCATCGTTCTTTTTTCTAGGTTATTGTGGGAGTAGATTTTTGAATAACTGTTTAACTTTTTAAAGAAAGACACAAACAATTTTAAAAAAATTGAGAAATCGAAATATGATTTAAAGTGAATTCTAAAAAAAATATCGAAAATTGATTCCCACAATAACCTAGGAAAATTGTCAATGAACTCGAATCTTTTTACAAAATTGAAATCTGATAATTCTAAGCAGGCGTATTTTTGTCAGGCTTTTAGATCTAAATCATGAAATAAATACGCTGCATCGAATCCCTTTAATATACATATTCTATCTAGTAGGTACCTATTTAACTGGTTTTAGTCAAACTAAGATGCCCAATATTACGCCCAGTACCTCTTACCAGGTGTAATTATACCTTGGGCGGTGGTCGTTTATGGGAGTGTAATAATTTGATCAAAAAAAAAAAAAAAAGCAGGTAAGTGGATGTCACTCTGCTGCACAATAGATTACAAGTGGGTAAATGTATAATGGATTGCATAAACTTGAATTCAATGATACAATAATATCATTGTATAAGAAAAACGATTCTGAGCGGAGACGGTTTATCAGTCTGGATTTTTTAAATTTTTATTATTCATTATAGTCTTTAATATTAAAATGTTATAATTTTTTATTCGTTTCTACGGTGATAAACAAATCGTTAGAAATTAAAATCCTATTTTAAGCGATTGTTCGTAATTTTTCAGTAGATTTTCCCGTGGCATTAAATAACTTTTGAGAAAATCGAAAAATGACCTCCCTAAAGTACCATCTTGATCCAATGTGCTAAAATATAAGGTACTATATGTTGAAGTCGAAGCACTTTTTCTGGTAGAAATTTTGTATACAGGATATAAAAAATAAACACCATTGTAAAACCAAGGTAGCTTCCTCGCTCCGCTCAGAATCTAAAAGTTCGTTTAGGTTTCTATCATTTATACAGTTTGGACGAGTGAAATTACCTTTGTCAGTGATATAATATGGACTTTGATATTAATTATGTTAGGTACTATATTATAGATACTTGACAAATATCTATTGAAAGTCTATTATTTACTATGTACTTACTATGTGTTATTACTAGGTGGTTTAGTTTTTTCAATTGCTTAATTGCTAATTTACATAATTATACAATAATGTATAAATTGATTTACCTATACCTATACTAACCTAACCTATTCAGTATTCATACTTAACAATATTATTCGTCCAAATAGAATTTTTTTGTGTAACAAATACTCGCCCACTCTAAATATGTCTCACTAAATATCATTACTAATATTATCATTATTATTAACGACACGTCATATTGTTCAACAGGTGTTGGGTGGCACGAGTGTGATGAACGGTATGATGTACATGCGGGGCAGCCGGCACGACTTCGATGGCTGGGCAAAGATGGGCAATCCGGGATGGAGCTACCAGGACGTGTTACCGTACTTCCTCAAGTCCGAGGATAACCACCAGGCGACCATCATGGACGCGGGTTACCACGGGGTCGGCGGCCCTCTGCCGGTCGGCCAGTTCCCATACCACCCACCGCTGTCGCACGCCATCCTGCAGGCCGGTCTGGAGCTCGGCTACCAGGTGCGTGACCTGAACGGTGCCCTGCACACGGGTTTCGCAATCGCGCAGACCACGTCCAAGAACGGTTCACGTTACAGCATGGCCAGGGCGTTCCTGAGGCCGGCCAAAGACAGGGCCAATCTGCATGTGATGCTCAACGCCACTGTGACCCGGGTGCTCATCGACTCTAAGAAGAAGGCGGCGTACGGAGTAGAGGTGTACACGAACGGACGGACAATGACGATCGGTGCACGGCAAGAAGTAATCCTGTCAGGCGGCGCGGTCGCCTCGCCGCAGTTGCTGCTGCTGTCGGGCGTCGGACCCAAAGATGACCTGCGTGCCGTTGGTGTACCGGTCGTGCACGATCTGCCAGGAGTCGGCCGGAACCTCCACAATCACGTGGCGTTCTTTGTCAACTTCCGCATCAACGACACGTCAACGACGCCACTGAACTGGGCCACGGCCATGGAGTACCTGCTGTTCCGGGACGGGCTCATGTCCGGCACTGGCATATCCGAGGTGACCGCCGTGCTTCCGTCCAAGTACGTCAACCCCGCCGACGACAACCCCGACCTGCAGTTCTTCTTTGGTGGTTACCTGGCCGACTGCGCCAAGACCGGCCAGGTGGGCGAAAAGTCGGGAAGCGGCGTGGGCGACGGCCGGCGAACCATCAACATGATACCGGCCGTGTTGCATCCCAAGAGCCGCGGCCAGCTCAAGCTCAAGTCGTCCGACCCGCTCGCTCACCCGGCCATCTACGCCCGGTACCTGAGCCATCCCGACGACGTTTCCGTGCTAGTGGAAGGCATCAAGATCGCGATTAGGTTGTCCGAGACACCTGCGCTCCGCAAGTATGGCATGGAACTGGACCGGACGCCAGCGATGGGCTGTGAGGACCTGGAGTTTGGATGCGACGCGTACTGGGAGTGTGCGGTGCGCCGAAACACCGGACCTGAGAACCACCAGGCCGGAAGCTGTCGGATGGGACCACCGAGCGACCCGGGAGCCGTCGTCGACGCTGAACTCCGCGTGCACGGCGTCGACAGGCTGCGAGTGGTCGACGCATCCGTGATGCCGGCCGTTACTTCCGGAAATACCAACGCTCCGGTGGTGATGATCGCCGAAAAGGCGTCCGACATGATCAAGGCCCGGTGGGTTGGCCGGAAGCCGTGGAGCAAGTGGTAAGACGACTGTGGCAGCCGAGCGGCGACGTCCTATTTTAATAATTTTGTAACTATATCGGTGCTACACAATCGTTTGAAAACTGCAAAACAATATTATACAGTAGTTATTGCATATAGTTATGGACGCTAAAATCACATACACTGGCAATTATTTTCGTTCCTGTAGTATAGACTAAAATATATATATATATTGTAAAACATCACCAACACGATATGCAAAACACAATTTATTACCAATATTAGCATAATAACTGATTAGGTACCGCAGCAGGCATCGAAATGATATCGCAATGCGAAAGTCAATAATTAATATCATCACTGACTTTTAAACAAATATTTTATTTATGTTATAACATTCTAAATTCTATAAATATCAGTGATGACAACAAATGGAATAATTTTATTATATCATAATTTTATTCACATTCAAGTATAAAATTTAATTTAATTTTGAATCTATGTATATTGTACAATATTTTTGACACAAAATTTATTATTGCAAAACTAATCCTAGTAGTTCCATTCTGGGTATTTCATTCGGGAAAATTAATCAGGGCACCCCAAAATATTTTGTCCCCCCACGACTCCACATTCCCAAAATTAAGCACTTATTTATTTAAAATAAAAAATCATCACCTAACATTATTATAATAATATGTTTATCATCATTTACATCCGTCTCGTACCGTACCGCACCATAATGCTTTCCACTAGTCGCACACTTAGTCGTTATCACAAAATTATAAAAAAATATCTCAACTTTACTACACACTATAATGTACTATACCAGAATATTTATATACCACTCGCACGCACCATCACGGCGACGACGACGTCTATATTATTATCACTCTGTATGCTGTATGGTCACCGACGAGGACCCATCCGGTTTGTCCGTATGCGTCTGGTTTTGTTTTTTATTGTGTGTGTGTTTTTTTTTTTTTTTTAGAAGACTATTTTTATTATTGTTTTTACAGAACGCAGTCCCACTGTACGTCCACGTCCCGCGACCGGCATTCAAGTCGTCGCCTCCACCTATTTAGGTACCTACTATAATATTATTATGTATACGCGACTATTATATACGATACGTCTACGAGTTAGGGTTACGAGCTCGGTATGATTGTAAACGCGATACATTTAGTACGTGGTTTAACGTTAAGCCCTAATATTATATTATACTGAGCACGCTTTTAATAAATTAATCGCTTGATTATTATTATTATTATACATTGTATCAGAACGTATTATTATTATAATATTGCGTACCTAGATCGTATTTAAATAATATTTTAGTTGATAGGTAGGTAGGTAACGTAACGTATATATTATAAACTATAATAATGTAATTAAAATATATATTGAAATGCCATGACGAGAAATTAGGGCCATTATTATATTTAATAATGTTATTAAGAAGCGAATTAGCCAACAAATACCTTGCGTATATTGTTAAATATATTTTATGCATTATATTATTGTTTTGTTTATAATATCGGTACGCTCATACATAAAGCTGCGCGTTGTGTTTTAGTCTTTAGTTTGTCATTGCAAGGTGTACTACAATGATCACATTATTTTCACCTAGCTAGGTACCTAAATTATAAATAGCATGTAGGGAAAAGCTTAAGAATCACTTAATTTGGGATGAATCATGTCAAAATAAATTATATTATATTCTATACTATGGATCTTTGTATGGCTTAGTGATATGCACAATTTTTTTTTTTTCTAATTATTGCTTAATATTACGTTAGACATAAGTATGTAGACCTAAGAATAATAGTTATATTAATTTATGCCACATAACATTATTATTTTGTCTTTGTATTACGTTGTATCAGGATATTATGCATTTTATTTATCACGTCGAATAGTTTTAAGTATATATTATTGTATTTTATCGTAGCTTTAATATACAGACGTATCGTTCATTTATTATTGTATAATTTAAAAAAACAAAAAAAATTAATCAAAAATATCGATAAAATTAATTACACTTATAATACTATTATACTTCAATAGGAATTATAATATATAATATAATTATTTATAAGTTTAAAATATTATGTATAATATCGATGGATTATACGAATTTGAACTGTGCAATTTATAATATTGATATTTTGTATTATATATAATATTTATAAAACAATTTCTTTTTCTGATTTCACACCAACAATATACAGGTGCCAACGGTGTCATACAATTATAAATTGGTAGGTACACACTACACACATTGAGGCGATTTTCTTTGAACGCATACAAAAACCAAGAGTTGTCGATATAGGACTTTGGTTCTATAAAAATTCGTTTATTTATATGTATATTCTTTATTCTACTAAGATACTTCGGATACCTCAAATTATTATAATCTGGTATTGCAGGTTAAATTAACTTGAGTTGGGAAATTGGTTCTGATATTGACTTGAAATTAACTCTGCATGTTATTTGTGTATGATTTCCCATGGGAAATTGTTAGAAGAAGTGTTTCCTTTTCTAGGAGATATGGTTGGCTAACTTCAGTTTATGGTGGTTAGGGGCACTGGCAAGGATCTCTTGCAGATATGATATATGAATAAACATAGCTGTACTTCTATTATACAGTAAATGGTTAGGCAGGTAATTTTTCTAACAATTTTAATGTACTGAAATCAAAATTTAATTTAGTACTTTTTGAATTATTAAACTATAGATATATAGTCCAAGATAATATAGGTTTAAAAGATATTGGGTCTAATATAGTAATATGATAGGGGCTTTATGATATTATAACAAATATGGTTATAATCTTAACTGATTTGATCTAGTTTTTATAATTTTATACAAATATTACAATCAAATTTCTTAATTTATAAAAACTGTACAAGTATAATAAGTACTTCAATGAATGTAAATTATTAAAGTCTTTAGATTAAACATTTATATTCCAGATTCAAAATTATAATCATATTTCTAAATAATAGACAATAGTACCACAATAAGTGGTTTGTCTACCATCCATCAATACAATTTAAACATATTATATAGAACACTGAAAGAAATAACATAATAAATTAGAGACGGATTTTGAACATTGTTGAGACGAGTCTACAAAGGAACTAGGAATACAACATAAATCCAGATAATCGTTTAAATATTGTAGTATCTTTAGCCTATAGGTACCTACACTAATATTATATAAATAATATTAAAATGTAATACTTAAACGTTGTACCTATATTGCCTATACTTAACGCCGTTACAACGTGTTGTGTGTTAAAAATCAAAACAGGTCTTGTCCTTTTTAGCACAAGAAAGTAGGTAGTTTTTTATAACTAGTTTTATCTATTACTTTAAAGTTTAAATATTTTAAAGAAATTACTAACATCAAAATTCATGACTTACTCGGTGTATTTTCTATAATCTGTTTTCACTTTTAAGTTTTAACCAAAATAACTTATAAAAATTAAAATATATACCAATATACTAGCCAAAAAAATATCTATTTAATAGCTAAACAATACGTAGAAACCAAAAACTATTGTTACAAGCAGTGGCAGATTCTGAGTTAAAAATGTAATTCGTCAAATTCGATGATTGACTTTTTAATATTTAATTTCATCAACACTTGATTTTCAAACGTATCCAAAAAATCATAGTAGTTATTAATAAACTATAAATTATTTGTAAAATTTTTATTTCATTTTCCGTATTAATTTTGATGAATTGAGTACACAAATCATAACAAATCATAACTTTAAAAGCTTGTAAAAAAGTTGTAATCGGTTTTCGATATTTTCATCGAATTCCAGTAAGAACAACATATTTTGATTAACAGCTAATCATTTTTTTGTTTTATAAAATCGATTTTGTGAAAGACTTGTTTCGAATAAATATCCCGGTTTTTCTGGGAATAATTATAAAATATATTATATTTTTCTTCTGTTATATTGAAAGTAATACGAACTTTTTATTTTTAACATTTTCCAAAGTACAAAATAGGTTTTTTACCAAAAACTAAAAAGCACCATCATTATCAAATATCAGATAGCAATACAATAATGCTTTTTACAGATCTAAAAGGTATAACACCGGAAAGACACACACACAAAAATAAACATAATTGTAAAACCAATTCCTTTATCACTCTGCTTGGAATCTAAAATATATAGATAAATAATAACTTTTTTGTAGAATTTAAAATATTAAATATCTCTATAACATAATATAGATTATTCTGGTTAGAATGGAGATGATTTATTATTTTACAGATTTTAGATAGAAATTCAATATTGTTTATTTTTATTAAATACTTTTTTTTACAAAAATTATTTTGTTCTTATCAATAGATATTATATTTGATGTATTCTGGGCTGGACACATCTGGACGACTGTATTCGCCAGATGCACCAGTGAAATTAAAACTCAAGTATTAAAAAGTGGTTCACTGATTGAGGAATTTGATTTTGATATTGGGTATATTGATTTGGTTTGGGGAAGTGTTTTTGGTATTGACTTGGCACGTATAGGACGGAAGTCCAGACTAAGAAGTGCTTCCTTCTTCATCCGCTATGGAAGGCTGTACCTCAGTATAATTCGGGCCCAGCTGGAGTCTCCACTAAAGGTGATGTTGATGGATCTGGATAATTTGATGATCCTGGCTGATATGGTGTTGATGAACCTGGCTGATTTGATGTTGACGATTCTGGCTGATATGGTGATGATGAACCTGGCTGTGTGGAAGGCGGTTGTGACTGAGATGTGGAGCCTCCGTAAAACTGGCTTAGAAATTCTTTAATTTTTTTGGTTCTACCCTCATCTTCGTCGTTAGTTTCTCTAACAAACCGATGTGTTGGTTTACCTAGGGACAAAATGTAAAAAAGTAATAAATATGCACAATGCTATTCTTAAATCAATACTTCTAAAATTAATATTAGAGAAAGAACGTTCTCACAAATTATATTTGCATATTTTTTCTAGTTAAATTTATGTTATGCCCGGTAAGTGGAAATTAAAATTGGAAAATGGAAAATTTTTTAGTTAAAAGATTAATTTTTTTTTTTCAAAGGCATATTTTGAATTTTTATAGAGCACTTCAGTTAATATTTTCCGTTAATAATAGTCAACAATGTTATTTAATTAAACCATAAATTAGTAGAGATAGTGAGGTTTTCAGTACATTTATTGAGTCATTGCATTAGTTATTACTAACTATTACTAGTTATACTCTATCTTTTTTTTCATATTATTAACTGCCCTGGTATTGAAATGAGTTATAGTGGAACTTATTTTATTTTCGCTAATTAAACGAAATTTAAAATAAATAATTTTAAAAAAAGTGGGCAAGTGGCTGTTGGTTGCTCTGCTACACTTTAGGTTACAAGTGGGTCACTGAAATGGATAGTGTTAAATTTGAATTCAATGATATAAGAAAATTGTATAAGAAAAACGATTCTGAGCGAAAACAGTCAATCAGCATATGATATTACTAAGTATATTTCATGATATTATTGTGAATAAAGTAATTTATATATAACCTATTTACGTGGAACCTTGTTTTAAATTTAAATATATTTTTTTGATAAAGATAGACAAATTTATGAGGAATCTTGTATTACATTTTTAAATCTTAGATTTAAAAAGAAAATTTTTTTTTAATTTCTAACTCAAAATAATTTGCAAATTTTCGTCATTTTTACATATTTTGTCAATATTTGAACTTTAAATGCTTATAAAAAAAAATTGTAACAATACAGTAGGAGCCTTTTATTAAATTGTCAAGCTTTTTTAACCAACAAATAAAATTTTATTGATATTTATAGACAAAAGTACTAAAAAAAATGGAAACTGAAAATGTCCGTAAAGAGCTCAAAATAAGTCAAAATATTTGGAAAATGTTATAGTCTATAGAAAATGCTAATATAAACATTCAGTCAAAATTTCATGTATCTAAGTTCATTTGTTTAAGAGTTGCACCAAAAACCAAAATCGATTTTTTCGGAAACAGATTTTACGTACTAATTTCCGTTTTTCCTTAATTTTTGTTTTGTTTTTCCCGGCACTTTTGAAATGGGAACTTTTCACTTTTGACCCCCCCCCCCCCCCAAAGTACCAGCTAGATTCACTTTCCCATTAGAAAAGATACTGTTGAAGAAAATCCAAACATTTTTACTGTCCTAAAAGGTGATGACAGACACACAAAATAAAAAAACACACATCACTGTAAAATCAATACGTTCATCGCGCTCCGCTTAGAATCTAAGAACAATAACAATTAATATTTCTATAATTATTATTATGATTCAATTATGATTTTTGTGCGTAATTTATCAGTACAATAAAATTACATAATATAATAATATTAATATATTAAGGTTATATTATGTCGTGTAATTTAATCAATTGTGAAATGTCTACATAATGAGGCTCTACAATAATACTGGCTTTTAAACGATGTAAAATATCACAATAATGATAATGTTGTACGAAATTAATGCAACCAAACAGTGTAATACCGTCGAAACTCAGGGGGACCTAATTACGGTATTAGTTATTGATGGGGGGGGGGGGTGTATAATGGATAAGTATTCCGTAGCCGGGAGTTGGATTACCACACGAGATAATTATTATCAATAAAAGTATTCGTTTGGTATAATAAAAAATACCGGTTGACTATTTTACGGTATGATTTGAAGACGTATTTGGTGATACATTTTTCTTTAAAAATTGCTCGTGTTGATGGAGAATTTCAAACTAATAACTATACCTACCTACCTACCATGTGTTATTTTTATGATATTTATACATTATATAGTAATTTAGAAAAAGCCAAAAACTAGCATCGTTATGGTATTTAATAGCATAATATTTGTATTTGTTGGTCAATAATGTTCAATTATGTATAAGGTTTTATATATTATAGTATACTATTATCCGGTGAGGTAACAAATGGTATTATTGATATTTTTTATTAAATATTAAATCAAACCATACATATTACATAATGATATCCTACTTACAGTGGTAAATCTGGAGAAGCGTCACAACTGCGAACAATGCGATTACAATAATTTTCACGTTCATATTGACTTGCTGGCACGAAAACAGGAAAAACCGTTTTGTATGATAATAATATTATGTGTGTTGTACGAGCGTATTGGTTTAATGACACGAAAGATTATTTTGAATCGCAGACGGACGACTGATGTCCGATGGCCCACGGGGTTAAGGATTTATAGAACTGGGAACGTTTACGCCCCTTCGTGAAAAATTTGCATACATCGCTGTTAACCGGCGATTAACAAAACACAATAAAGTTGCCAAAATAGATAATCGTTGTGGCACGCAACCGTCATATTTGCATTCGATCCCCTCGGCCGGTTACCGTGGCGAAAGGTAAAACAAGTGCTGTCCTCTATTCGTCTTTGCGAGCGTGCGTGCTTCCCTATAGATCGTCGAAGTCATTAACATGCCTAGGAATAATAACTATAAATTAGGGCGATTAGACAGACCCACATTAAGCGCTCGCGTTCACTAAATTATCAAAAGACAAAAGCCTCCGACCGGCTGTCGGTCGTTCATCTCACAATTGGCCACATATTCGGCGCAGGACTACTGTGTTGTGCACTGTGATGCTAAATCATATATGACCCAAAACGTTCGTCTCATCCGATCTGATCAGTCGGTTGCATTAATTGCGTTTGTTCGAACTTCCAAAACACCTTTCTATACAGCGTATTAATATAGCTAGTTAACAGTGTATGATTTTAGATTCTGAGCGGAGCGAGGAAGCTAGTGGTTTTACATTCTTGTTTATTTTTTTTTTATATATCCTGTATACCAAATTTGTACCAGAAGGAGTGCTTCAATTTCAAAATATAGTACTTTATCTTTTAGCAAATTGGATCAAGATGGGACTTTAAAGAGGTCATTTTTCGATTTTCTCAATAGTTATTTAATGCCACGGGAAAAACCACCGACAAATTACGAAAAACCGCTAAAAATGGATTTCAATTTCTAACGCTTTGTGTATCACCATAGAAACGAATAAAAAATTATAATATTATAATATTAATTCAATTTACCTACATGATATAATAAATAATAACAATATAAAATATCCAGACTGCAGACAAACCATCTCCTCTCAGAATCGTTTTTCTTATACAATGATATTATATCATTGAATTCAATTTTAAAATTTTTAGTACAATCCATTATACAATGACCCACTTGTAATCTACTGTACAGCAGAGCGACATCCACTTACCAGCTTTTTTTATATTGTTTATTTCTTCGAAAATATAATGTGCCCCGCTTAATAGGTGGTTCGTGTGGGGGCGGCCCCAACTAATCCGAAGTGCAATCGATTAATAAAAGACTACTCCATCTTAATGAATATTTCGTCGTGTGCATAATATCATTAAAATACTAAAATATAATACACTTCCAACGTAAAAACTAACTTAAAAAATTATTAGTTTTTGATTTGTCAAGTACTTTCAGTCTTACTTGAGAATCGGAAACTATGGCCATTAGCGTTTTGAAGGAGGTCAAGATTGGTTGAAGAACACAATATGTATATGGGGCTAGGATTTTACACTCAAACCCCGATATAGTCATACATAATCAGAGATGTTAAATTTCATGTTTTCACTGACTTGTTGAAACTTTTCAGAAACTTTTCATGTTTTCATGAAACTTTTCAAAAAATTTGAAACCTTTGATTTAACACTTTTATATACCTTTAATTTATTTTGTATATGATTCAATAGCTTTTTTTACACATCTAAAAAATATTATCAAATTATTTAAAAGTGATTTATATTATGCAATTATTAGATGCTGGCCATCTTAATTGCATTTAAATGGTAATCATTGAATACTAATAATAATTATATTGAAGCAGTGTTTAATTATTTATTTTCCTAGTAATTTATCAATTTTCCAATAGAAACTAATATTAACTTTTATGACTTATACTAAAAATAATAACAAACCTAATAAATTTACCTAATAAATATTAATATTATAAAGATACTAAAAGTATTTAAAAAAGCTATTGGAAACATGATCTATGTCTACTATATCATATCAATTACTTAGTTTTGACATCTATAGTGGTTGTTATGATTTAGTAATAAAGTCAGATAAAAAAGGTGGGTAAGTGGATGTCGCTCTGCTGTACAGTAGGTTACAAGTGGGTCACTGTATAATGGATGGTATTAAATTTGAATTCAATGATACAATATCATTGTATAAGAAAAACGATTCTGAGCGAAGACGGTATGTCAGTCTAGGTTTAAGACATATATATACATATCTATGGTATTAAAAAAAAAATTGACCTATAATAAATTCCAAATTAATCATATCACAATATCCACTAGGTACTTATAACACGTTATACATCAATAACAAACCCTGATACTATCATTGATATATAATATAGTGTACTTTAGAAGTTTCAAGTACTTACGAATAGTATTATACACTCACAACAAAATGACTAAAATAGGTATGCTAGGTTTTTTAATATGTAATTTCGTCCCAAATTTGAACTTAAAATGTCTGTGAAAAATAACTGTGCTCATATATTTTTTAGATTTTTTGGCTACAGTATGAACTATTTATAAGAATCTATTTTTTGAATTTTCAATCTTTAGCTATAAAAACTGAACATTTTATAATTTATTAATTACGATGGTTAATAATTTTCGAAATTTTGAAAAATTCTGTCAAAATTCGATGTTTAAATGCTTATAAAAAAAAATTGTGCCTATGTATTTTTAATATTTTTCAACTGATATTGTAACACTATATCAGGAGCCTTGTATTAAATTTTTACACTTTTGGCCCAACAGATAAAACATTATTGATATTTATAGAAAAAAAAAACTAAAAAAATTGAAAACTGAAAATTTCCATTAACAGCTCAAAAAGAGTCAAAATATTTTCAAAATTGTACGGTGTATAGGAAATGTAATCTGAACATTCAGTGAAATTTTCATGTATCTATAGTTATTCGTTTTTGAATAACAACAAAATAAGAAAATCGCTACATGAGAAATCGAGTGAATATCCAATGTTGTAAAAATTTGAATTTCAAACGCTCATAAAAATTTAATTTGACTTTCTTATAGAATTTTTTTTTTGATAAATATAGGAAATCTTATAAGGAATCTTGTATTACATTTTCATATCTTAGATTTAAAAAGAAAAATTTTTATGAATTTCTAACTCGAAATAATTTGCAAATTTTCGTGATTTTTCCATATTTTGTCATTTTTTGAACTTTAAATGCTTAAAAAAAAACTGTGACTAACGATTTTTAATATTTTTCATCTGTCTTTGAAACAATATAGTGGGAGCCTTGTATTAAATTTTCAAGTATTTTTACTCAACAAATAAATTTTTATTGATATTCATAAAAAAAAAAACTAATAAAATTGGAAACTGAAAATGTCCCTAAACAGTTCAAAATAAATCAAAATATTTTGAAAATGTTATCGTGTATAGAAAAGGCAAATATAAACAACCACTGAAAATGTCATGTATCTACGGTTATTTGTTTTAAAGTTACACCAAAAACCAAAATCGATTTTTTGGAAAACCGATTTTGCGTAAAAATTCCCGTTTTTTCCTTAATTTTTATGTTGTTTTTCCCGGCGCTCTTGAAAACTACTGGGAAATTTAAATTTTGACCTCCCCAATGCACCAACGGTATTCACTTTCCAATCGAACAAGATACTGAAGTCGAAAATCGAAGCATTATTTCGACTACTTATCGTGTACACAGACACAAAAAAAATAAAAAAAAAACACACATCATTGTAAAATCAATACATTCATCGTTTCACTCAGAATCTAAAACCAACTTTTTTTAACAGGTATACAATAATGTATGGTTGTAAAGTGTAAATTTAAGATATAAATACCTTCCAAAATATTAAACATCACAAATACCAAGTTCACAAAACATTGGCAATTTTAATTTTAGTAGGTAGTTAACAATTGTACAGACTTATGTAACAATTATGACTCACGATTATGAAATTAAATTTTTGATATTGAAAAGTTACAATACTTTTCATTTCAAAAGCCTTGAAACTTTTCAAATTTCATGAAAAGTTTCATTTGAAAATTTCTGAAACTTTTCAGCCTCACATCTCTGTACATATACATCGGGGAACTAGTGACACGTACGATGATTGTACACAGCACACAATAGTGACTGATGCCAACCACCACGACATACCACCCCCCCCCCCCCCCCCCCACAAAAAACAGTATTATTGCAATCATAATATTATTAATAATTAATTGATCATTATATTATTATGAAATTAACTAAATAGAAATAATTTTTTGATATTTTGTACAGTACCTTTTTTACTGCCCTAACCGACAACGCCGCGGGAACAGCTTTTGCATTAGTTCCGAGTGCAGAACCTAGTACTTACATATTCTTAGAATATTAAACTTTTATATCTGATGTCATAATTTTAAAAAGAAATAACCGTATCTCCTAAAAAAGTGGTCTACCACTGTAGTTTGCAGACTTCAGGGAAAATGAAAAAAAAAATTAAGTTTATTCAAATAGGTAGTATAAACTCCATAATATATTTGAACTCAATGTACAATCGAAATAATTGTTATTGGATAATGTGAAACACAGTTTGTCCTCTGTTTTGGACAAAATTATAAAAACAGTATGATTATTATTAAATACAATTTGGTATCGTGTATTTGATTAAAGTTTTTGCGAAAACCATGGGAGATTCAATCAAGATGATCAACATGGCCAACATCAACCTTCACAAAAGTTGTCGACACTATACAAACAACTACAGGATTCCGGCTGATAGGTCTGCTCTGGGCAACCTCCCGTGGTAACCGGTTCTGTGGTTGTCGATGATCCTGGTTGTGGTACCGATGTTTCCGACACTGAAGGTTTCACCGGGTTCGAGTACCCAGAGTTTGACTCTGCAGTATTATATGACCCACCGACACCGGAAACGGACTGTATTACTTCCCTTACTTTGTCGACTGTCGGTTTGACTACATTCATCCGGCCATCGTCCTCCGTGGTGCCTATACTTACAGAATAATATTTTATAGTTAAATCGTTTAAGTATCTCAAAGAAGGCTCACAGACATTACATTTACCAATGAAGTATGATTTTATTTATAGCAAAACACTATCGTTATCTGTGATGATGTTTTGTCGTTTTATTATACTTTAATTTATTTTACAGTTAATTCTATAATTATTCCAATGTCTATATTATATTACAGTATTTAAAATGAAATCAATCATTTCATCGTCATTCGACGTTTTTCGACAATGTGAGTCGCCTTTGTAATATTTATAAATAAAGTAAAAACATAAGTAATCATCAATATTATTATTTATAGTCTTATAAAACAGATAAGCGTATAGACATTCCAAATTCTGAATAAATAGTCAACCATATAACAATTAATATAATAATTAATAATACAATTATTATTACTGCAATAATTATTAAAAAAATTATAAATTATAAATGTTATAAAATAATTAAATAGCGTATGTAATACCTACTAGTGGCAAACTTGTATTAAAAAGCTGCGAGTGCTAAAGCCCCCTATTTTTTGAAGGGATAAAACTTCTATTATTATGATCATATTATGTTACTTAATCAACAACTCACACCTCACATTACCCATTTAATAATTTATCAGACAAACAAAATCTAAACAAACGAAATTAAATAAAGATATTTCTATAATCTATATTAAAATTTAAAATATAATTTTTAAAGTCTTTGTCCTTATGTTTGTAGTTTATAAACAGAATAACTGAACAACCGATTTTGACAGATTATTTTTAGAGATTTCAGAAAAGTTTAAAGACTAATTTTAACTATATGCAAAACAATAATAATTACTCTATCCAATCCTCCCCACAGACTGATGACCTATATTGAGAGAGGGGGACATGTTGCAAATTTAAAAATTATGGTCACTGGCCACCATTCACGATCTCCTGGCTGGCCCACGGTGGAGGAGGAGGTTGAGAAGAACTTTACTTCTCAGTGGCCCTAGACGTGGTTCTATAAAACTCTTGAGAGGATGTACCGGATATAGGGCAACCATGGACAATAAAACTTGTTCGTAGTTGACTTCCGGAATACGTTGTGGAAGTTTTTTGCCAAGGGACGTTCTGCCTAGGTTTTGGTGTGGAATGACCTGTATAGCCCATGGGAAACATTTTAAAGCCTTCTTTTATTAAAACTTGTTATTTATTAATATTTCTAACAAGTTAGTTAATTTTCTGATCATTTTTATCCATTTTACCTAAGTAATAATTTAACTTTTCCCTGTTAATTTAAATATAATACATTAAATTAAAAACATCTATATCAACGCAGTTCAAACAAAATAAATGCAATTATTTTATACAAGAATAAACAAATTATTGGATTTAATAATTTAGTTGACTAAACTATATTGTGTTTAATTATTTGTAATTTAGATATTATAAACTAAATTTTAGATGTTAAACTAATGTGAAATAATGTACCTAAATTACTATACAGCTAGTGTGCAATTAGACATATTGGATGTATTTTTATCACAAAATTTATTTATTATTTAAACAAATTTAAAGTTGAAAATCACTATATGTGAGACTATTTGGCTACTGGTGGTCAACTTTATTGTAAATTCGTGTTTTTTTAATCATGTTGATAAAGTTTTTGAGTAACTGAAGTTTGATATATGAGAGTGGTTCTCAATTTCCATGTTACATTATTCATCAAAAATATATGGGTGCTTAACAATTATTTATCTAAATTAATTAATTTAGATTGGTCAGCTCCCATTTCGCCGCCATTTAATTTTGGCGCGGTACCGTTTCGCCGAATTTATTTTTTCGCAGTTCCATTTCGCCGAATTTATTTTTTAAGTAACTCTTTAACTCTCAACTTAAGATTACTCAACAATTATTCATTGTTTTATTTGTAGTTAATAAGTAATAATAATATTTTCAAATGAATCATTAATTCATCAATTGATAATACTCATAATAATATTATCCCAAATCTGCAAAATAATTTGATTTTTATACTATTTTTTTTTTAAATATTCCTATTGTAATGACGTGAAGTGTGAACTATGAGATTGTGATGCGTGGTAGATAACACCAATGATTTGAACGCATTGATATTTGCATAAATGCATAATAATTAATAAATTCAAATCATGACTTAATTAATTCAAAACGAGAATCTATTATTAATTCTAGATCACAAGAAGAAAATAACATAAAAAAAACCAATTCAATAAAAATGCACAAAAAAAAGGGAAACTCAATGTAAATTTTAAATATTGTCTTCTATAATAAAGTTGACTGTCTTGTACATCATAATATTATGATATGATACCTTTCAAACTTGCAATAATTGCTTTTAATGTATTACTTTAACTTGCCAGTTTGGCCATGTGCAGGCCCGTATACAGGAGGGAGTTTTAGGGGTTCAACCCCCCCCCGAAATTTTTAAAGTAGGTATATATTTATAATATATGTAACAAAAACTAACTACATACGTCTTTAAAATATTTTAAACCGCCCCCCCCCCCCGAAAATTGATCCTGGATACGTGCTTGGCCATGTGTATCATAATAATATATAGTACCTACTACCTACTCCCAATTGTTTGATACTATTTATTTATACCCATCTAGGTGAATTCTTATGCCAGAAACGGCAGAAACTCATAAAAACTCGAGTGTCATAATATAATATGAGCCAGGGTTCATAGAAACAACTGAGTTACTCGGGCTGAGTGCATAATTAATGACACTCAAAGCGTCCGTGGACAAATCTGTGGAATTGGTAGGGCAGTCAACTTGATATTGACAGAATTTTTTGGATTAGTTTGGCATTATAATACAATTTACCACGAATGTTTAGTGATCGTAAACTTACCTTTTTTTATTCAATACCTGCCGATTGTTATTCACTCGCGATTCAATATATCACTAAGAAAGTATTGATCGAAACCGAAATCAAAAAAAAAATTCTTCGACACAGTATCAATACTCTGTAGTACATACAATATTAGTATATTAACTATAAATACCTTTAAAAAAAAATGATATATGTCTAAATGAATAAATGGTTTTCTTATTTTTTCGAGTTACTCGTAATAATTCAGCGTACAAATTACAAAAAACGCTGTGGCTCTATATGAGCCCTCCCACTCCACGTCTGGGTCCCTCCCACTAACACGTATTATGTGCGTAAAGAAACGCAATTTGTTTGTATAATAATCGACGCACCTAACTATGATACAATATAAATACTAGACTATACTACAATGCTCCAACACTGCAGCTGTGGTATAGGCGGTGTCCAAAAAACATAGATAGTCGTTAATCGTAACTGCAGTATTTTTCACAGAATTTCCATTACCTGTTATCTCATTAAATTTGAAGGGGAAATATTTTGGGTTCGATTCCATTTACCTCGGACAAGCTGGTACTTAACAGCGTGGCGATTAAATACAATTTGTTGCCGATAAGACTGACGCTTTTTTTTTTTCATATCATAAAAACGTAATAAATTGACTGTTAGATTATATGGGTATAAATTATAATGTAATGTACGATACAAACGATTTGACCTCTGGTATATACTACAATGACAATAAGGTGGGTTTTTTATCGTAATAATTTATCATTCTTAAACTATAATAAAGGATTTAAATACAATACCTACGCGTGTAATCGTGTATATATGACGTAATTGCACAATTTTTATTAATTTTTTAATCTTAAGAAAATATAATATTATTCCCATATTATGTCAAAATCTCAATTTAGTTGATGGTACCGGGCAGGGGTGGCAAAACTTTTAAACACTACGTGCTAAAAATTACCTTTTTTTTTTCGAAGCTACCATGAAAAATATTTTGTTATTCTTCTTGTTATATAATGTTTTGGAATTTCATATATATAAATTCATATATTATATAATATTATAACGATGGCGTAGCGCACAAGTGTGATAAGTGACATTTTTTTGAAAAATGAGTTAAGTGCATAATCAATTTAATCATACAATTCTGCGCATTATGCCCAAACGTTGTAAGTGAATAGTTCATTATTTACTCCGATAGATGTCGTACAGTTCGTTACATTTTTGAATTTGTTATTACATCTCAAACTTAAAAATCGTTCTCCTGAACAATATTACATAAATGTCACTTATCACACTTGTGCGCTACGCCATCGATAATGTATATTAAAAATATTTTAATTTTTCGCGTGCCCTCAAAATCTTTTCACGTGCCATGGATTTGCCATCCCTGGTATAATGGGTTTGGTAAGTCCCTACATGAAATATAACCGGTAAACGGTTACCTACATATTACTCAAGTTTATAATATACACTGAGATAATAATATTAAACAGATAGATTACTACAAAAATAACAATTAGATATATAGGTACGTAAATATTCTTCACATATACTTTATTTGACACAAACCCATTTATCAAAAAGAGTCGGTGGCCGGTGCCTACATCCGATGTCAATAATCCTGAAAATATAAGTACAATATTAAATAACTCTATGTAACAAAATAAATACACAGAATGACTTAGCAGTTGAAATGAATAAGGTTTTATTGTAAGTAAGCTAAGTAAAATTAAAATTATTTTCATTATGACATTATTTATAAAAAAATTTCAAATAAATGTTTACCTAAAAATTAAAATAACTGGATTACGTGGATTGAATCAATTAGTGGTTAGAAGCCACTTTTACGTCAAACAAAAATCAACAAATTTTAACCACACCAACAAAATAATATAAGTTGTCTGTTAGTCTGTTGTCCTATACCTTGTTTAGGTGGAAAAGATATTTATTATGTTTTACATTTTTTTAGTTTTCTTATTGGATTATAAGATCATATTATATTTGGATTTTAAAGGAACTTACCTTTTTTTTATGTTTTTTTTATTATATTATAAGTGAAGGAATTTATTTACGTATGAGTTAATTTTTTTCGTGTAAAATTTGTGTTTGTGTGTTCGGTGTGCAACTTTCCATACTACTTTTGTACTGATATCGACATTTTCTTCTTCACTACGTTTAATACTGATTTTAAGTGTCCTCTTCAATCACATTTTTTTTATAATATATTTATTATAATTTTATTCTTTAATTTTAACAAATTATTTTAAAACCTTATTTTTCATTTTCCATTTTTTATTAGTTTTTTTCTAAAAATATCAATAAAATTGTATTTGTTGGTTAAAAAAGCTTGAAAATTTAATACAAGGCTCCTAGTATATTTTTTCAATGGCAAATGAAAAACATTAAAATTCCTTAGTCACAGTTTTTTTTTATAAGCATTTGAAGTTCAAAAATTGACAAAATATGGAAAAATCAGGAAAACTAGCAAATTATTTTGAGTTAAGAATTCGTAAAAATTTTTCTTTTAAAATCTAAGATTTGAAAATGTAATGCGAGATTACTCATAAGTTTGTCTACCTTTATCAATAAAAAAATCTCTACCGGAAAGTCAAATTAAATTTTTATGAGCGTTTGAAATTAAATTTTTACAACATTGGATATTCACTCGATTTCTCATGTAGCGATTTCCTTATTCTGTTGCAATTCAAAAACGAACAACTGTAGATACATGAAAATTTCACTGAATGTTTAAATTAGCATTTTCTATACACCATACAATTTTGAAAATATTTTGACTCTTTTTGAGCTGTTTATGGACATTTACAGCTTTCAATTTTTTTTAGTTTTTTTTTCTATAAATATCAATAAAGTTTTATCTGTTGGGCCAAAAAGTGTAAAAATTTAATACAAGGCTCCTGATATATTGTTACAATAGCAGTTGAAAAATATTTAAAATACATATGCACGAATTTTTTTTATAAGCATTTAAAGATCGAATTTCGACAAAATTTATCAAAATCTCGAAAATTATCAATCATTGTAATTAATAAATTATAAAATGTTCAGTTTCTATAGCTAAGGATTGCAAATTTAACACAAAGGTTTTCGTAAATAGTTCATACTGTAACCAAAAAATTTATAAAATATATGAACACAGTTTTTTTTTACAGACATTTTAAATTCAAATTTGGACGAAATTACATAATAAAAAACCTAGAATAACTATTTTAGTTATTTTGTTGTGATTGGTATAATATTATTCGTAGGTACTTGAAACTTCTAAAGTAAACTACTATATATGTTAGATAGTATCAGGGTTTGTTGTTGGCGTATAACGCGTTATAATAAGTACCTA